GTTTGTGCTTCACCCTCGTTTTGCCTACTCTCACCTGTTTTTCACAGCAGCAGCGCTGGCCTTCACTTTCGTGCTCTATTCCTTCCCTCCTTCTTATAACCTTATATAGCACAAAAAAGTTTTATGTTCTTAACATGTTAAACTAGATACATAATTTGAGAAGAACTACAAAGAAGTTCCTCTCAAATTATGTATTTAGTTTATTAAAAAGGGATATTATTGTCTTCTTAAAATGCTTGTTGCTTTCAACTTTCTGCCTCAAGCTCGAAAGGGTTGCATCAAAATTTGCGAAATCCTCATTGTAACCGCGCCGCTCCAGCTGTGGAAAGTTGGTGTAAACGAAAACGGAGGTGAAGCACAAACACTGAAGAACAAAGCGGAAGCAGAAAAGCTTCTCAATAGTTTTGGTCTCATTTTCGCCTCCACACATCTCTATTCTCATTTACAGTGGATTTTTCGAATCAAGATGCCCCTCGCTCACCTGGCTTGTATTCCCCCATAATAAAATCATCATAATAAATCATTATAATATGATCCATGCAGTTGCAAACGCTATGATGAACATGGAAGGGATGTTAGAGGCAGCCGAAAGCCCCCCTCCAGACTCAATAAAACTCGATGAGGAAAAGAAAAAAATACTAGACAAGAAGAATCCCATACCTGGACCCCATCATCCAACGTACCTCACAATGATCAAGGTTAGAACTCAAGTGACTTTTTCCCGTACTTATTCCTGTTGGTGCGAATATTTCCTCATGGCTTTGGAGAAACACTTTTTTGCCTGATAGAATTCCCTTCTGCCAAAACTAAATTAACGTACTTTATAAATTTCAGGGAGCAGTGCTCGCCTTGAATGAGGGCAAGGGAGCGAGCAAGCCAGCTATCTTGAAATATCTGGCGCAGCACTACCAACTGGGGGAGAATCTTCCAAAGGCAGGTAGCAAATGTACGTACTTGGAAGGGAGTCAAGGGCTTGTTTCAGATAAATTCGCATTTGTGTTCGGCTCTCAGGAAAGGCACCAAGGGCGGTGACATTGAGCAGGTACATTTTATCGCTACATCTTTTGATACGTGGGTATAATATGATGCAGAAAAATCAAAATTCCAAGTACGAACTCAAAAAGGGAAAGGTTATTACATTAGGGATATTTGAGTAATCTAATCTAACCTCTTCCTTCTCCGCACCTTCTCACTAAACCGTTCTACTTAAAAATAGGCTTGAAGAAAAAAGTTATTGACGTTTACTTGAATTTCAAAGCGAAAGTGCTGAGATTATAAAAATGCAGACCAGCTACGTCAGATTTGCATTGTACTGGACTCTGGAGTTTTTGCTTATGGTTAGACATTGAGGGAATATGGTGTAGTAAGATGATTGGCAATGTATGTTTATACCGGCTAGTAATGAAGTCATCAATCAGAATAATTTCCATAATAACTTCAGTCCAAAATATCCTCATCTGACAGATCTGAGTGAGTCATTGGAAAGTTGGATGAAATCAATAGTGGAGGTAATGCTCATACAAAACGGAGATAGCATGAATGATATTGTTGCCAGAAATTGGTTTATGAATTCTGCAAAACAATTCTTGGGCTGCTGAATTCAGAATTGCATTGCTGACGTTTCATTCAGACAAAAGGTACGGGTGCGTCGGGAAGCTTCAAAATGGCTCCTTCCTCAAAGATCGGCATGGAAAGCGGACGCGTAACGTTGAAGAAAGTCGGTACACGAAAGCCAGTTGCAGAAAAGAAGAAAACAGCAGCAAAATCTGCAGCTAAACCAAAAGCAGCTCCTAAGAAACGCATCGCGAAAAAAACTCCCAAGA